TTAATCGCGGATTTTCACTATGTCACCGAACCGTCGCGACGTCCAAATGATGCACTTTGGACGTAGAATACGAGAGACGAGAAAATCGCGAGTAAATAATTAGGGGAACGACCCGTGGAGTTTATTCGGTATACCTTTGCGCCAGCCAATTGACCAGCTTGATGCATCGGAGGTATATATATATCTACTTCCACATACTCTGTTTGAACTGGAAGTCGGCCAATCTTCTAGAACGGATCCGGAGAACCGAAGGAATTGGATGAAAGTCGTCATGCGATTAGCGTCATCTCGAGCGCGCTTCTTGTTCGGGGTGAACCGGTGTGCACGTGCCCGACATGCGTGGATGCACGTACGTACAGGACTCGTACCTACGTACCGGCACCTCACACCCACGCAAAGTGTGCAGTGAGATCACCTTTATAGTTTGACTTCTTAGTCACGACTACACTCCACGTAGTCTCGGGTGGAAAGGAAGGAAATGCACTCGAAGGGGACTTTTTATTTTCCCAAAATTCGGCCTCTACTTAAGGTGACGTGAAAGTGGCGTCGAAGAGGTTTTGTTTATAAAACTTTTCTCCCAACTCGGTTTACCGAATAGTTTGAAACTTTACTACGTGAATAGGTAGACTATAAGGAAGGTCCTGAAACTCATGAAATTCCTATTCTTTTCAAATTTCTTTACAGGTATTTTAGACATAGTTTATAAAAAATGAAATTTCGCGAGTGTCAGGACCTACGTTAGGGTCTCCATATTCACGTTTTAAAGTATGAAACGATTTGAGACACCCAGTTCGTTGAAATGTTTTATGAACGATTGAGTCACATCCCCTTAAGGTGATGTGAAAGTGGCGTCGAAGAGGCTTTGTTTATAAAATTTTTCTCCCAACTCGATTTACCGAATAGTTTGAAACGTTACAACGTGAATCGGGAGACTATAAGGAGGGTCCTGAAACTCATGAAATTTCAATTCTTTTCAAATTTGTTTATAGGTATTTTCAAAATAGTATATAAAAAATGAAATTTCACGAGTTTCAGGACCTACCTTAGAGTCTCCATATTTACGTTTTAAAGTATGAAAGGATTTGAGACACCCAGTTCGTTGAAATGTTTTATGAACGATTGAGTTATCGGATGCCCCTTAACCAAGGAAAGGAAAATTGTCAGGTATAGCGGCTTTGAAAACTTCCACTCGGCATTCTCCGGCGGTATTATTCCGACCTAATGGACGGCGTCGTTTAGCGACGTGATAACCTTGCGGAATGATTATCCGACTTGTCGGGATATCGATCCGGACGTTCAGGGTGCGGTGATCCTGCAAACAGTCCGAGTCCTGCCGAACTTTCTCTCCAGTTGACACCCTGAAAATCAACATAGGTCAATTAACACTCGCCCTAAGTGATATGGCACCGAATCGTGGAAGGCACAAAGGGATGCCTCGGAATCTCCGATAAGAGAGCTCTCATTAGATTAATCGCACCGTTCTCACTCGGCCGGCCAATGGTGTATCGGTTTCCTTTGAAAAATTCCTAATTGGGAATTTTTTTTTTCATTTCTTATTTTCGCCGACGGTACCTTTCTCGTCGCTCAGGGGTCCGAGAACGACCCAAGGAAGAATGCATCGTAAATGTCGCGTCGTCCTACACGCTGCTGGAGTGCACGCGTGGATTTTGCAGAATGCAGCCTGTGGGACGCTGCTTTTCCGATTGCCTCATGGCATGTGGCGAAACTCCCGAGAAATCGCGGGGGGAAATTGGAAAATATCACGGGCGCTTTTAGATTGCTCGAGAGACGCTGCTAAATCTAAGGGAAAACTATTACCCGAGATGCATCTAGTCGCGGGATATGGCTGCAGTATTAGGCGCGCCCGAGAAGTGCATTCTGCACGTAAGCCTAAAGAATCTCGTTAGTCGTCTTACGACGATAAGGATTCTCCGGAGAAAATGGCGTCTCGAAAGTAGAATTTCCTGGAGGCGGACTTCTCCATCCCCGAGAGCACCCTTAATCGCTAGGAAATTACTGGCGCTCGCTGATATCACCGAGATAATGAATTTATTGAGACAATGTTGGCGTCACCTCCGGATGTTGAATGTTATAACCTTATCGAAGCATTTACACCGGCTCGAGTTTCATCACAGTCTGAATAATTCGAGATTCTTTCGTCAGAGACGGACATTTTGAGTCGACAAATATTCGAGTCGTTGACCCGGATGGAATTATCCAGGTCGATAAACGCCGATTCGCCGTTAAGGGGTTACACCACTTCGACCCACCCAAAAATTACGGTTTTTCAAGAATTTTTTTTTAAGAATTAAAACGTTTTTATCCAAATTAAAGTACAGTAAGGTATTATACTACTATTAAACAAAAAATGCCTTTTTTGTATTTTTTTTATTTACAAAAATGGCGGCTTGGAAGGCGATTTACCGGAGCGCTGCGAAAATCGATGATCGTGCGGTGGGCACGATAAATCAGTCTAGGTTTAAGTTAGAACAATAAACGAAAAAGAATTAGTTTCTGTAGCCCAAAAGCTAGCGAAATACGTAGCCGTTTTCAAAAATATGCATTTTTCACAAAATGGCATCGATTTGAGAGGAAAGATACGTATTTTGCCCTAAATTTCGTTAATTAATGTTGCATAAAAACTGCGTATATGAATACATTGAAAAAAACCATACGTATTTTGCTAGATAAACATATCACGAATAAAATAAAAAAAAAGAATCAAGACGATTGATTGACAATTGGCGGAGCTAGAGTGCCCATCGATTTTTAAAATGCAGTTTTAAGAAAAACGCGTTTACGCGTGAGTGAGTTTAATAGTAGTATAATACCTTACTGTACTTTAATTTGGATAAACACATTTAATTCTTAAAGAAATGTTTGGGTGCGTCAAAGTGGTGTAACCCCTTAAGGCCGCTAAAGTCGGGAAAAGAAACACCGGCGCGCGTATTAAAAAAGGAAGAAATGAAAAAAAAGAACAACTGCCGATTAAGAACCTCGAAAATACCTCGTTCTCGTTTTTTTCTCTGTCTCGTTAAGGAAATTATCACGCTCCAAGTTGTAGAGAGGGAAGAACAAAAATGCGGTTTCGTGGCGACTCGTCGCGGAGTTATTTCCTTATTATTCGCCGTTAAGCTCATCAAAGTCGGTAAAAGAAACACCGGCGCGCGAATTAAAAAAAAAATGCAGACCATGAACCTCGAAAATACATTGAGTTCATTTTCGGAAATTATCCCGCTCAAAGATACCTACGGCGAGTCGAAGGCATAAAAAAAGAATGCGGTTTTGCAGCGACTTATCGCGGAGTTGATAAGGTCTTAATCGAGCTCTCGCGAGTTGGAAACAAACGATGAGTTTCCTTATCGGCGTTTCGCGATAACTCGGCCAGTTAATGCTATCCGTTTCCCCCTAATTGCCCGGTAACTCTTATAATTCCGAGATTATCGAAACCTGGAGAGTCAGAAGTTCATGACTTGTTTTCGAGGATCAACTCGTAGGTTTATTCGTCACTTTGGATGCGTATCGGCCACTGATATGCATATCGCGAGTACATTAATATGCATATCTCCCCGGATACATGCAAACGCCGGAATATGGAGAATTTATGTACACTCGAAAACTGCCGATGAGCGTTCGTTGCGATGACTCAGGGAAGGAAACAGTTGAACAAGCGACGAATTGCCGGTCGTTTGAATGTACACAAGTGCTCCTAGATCGCTTGACGGTTATTCATCGCTCGTCAAGGTCGTGGACAAGTGCTCGTCGGTGTGGCCTTTTGGAAACGACTCTAGCAGAGTGACTCAAGAGACCTCCCCAGGGTGGAGGGTCGATAAGATCGATTTTCTTTTCGGCTGATCGAAAGGAGCTTTCCACGTATAAGAGGAAGTAAAGGCCCCTGGAACAGTTGATCATCTGTTAACACTTAACAAAATAAGCTGTCAACAATGTCTTCTTTTCTTTTTCTCGTTCACTTCCGCATATTCCATACAATACAGTAACAATTGAATATTCTCAGGATCTCGGAACAGAAAAAAAGGTACGATCTTAAAGTGCAGATAAATGTACCCAGAAAGTTACACGCTAATGGTACGTAAGTTTTCAACGATAAGTCGTCGATAAGTCGGTGAAAACCGATCGGTACAGATTAAACCGACGATTACAGACCTCGATTAGACTAAACCGATCGCGAATCGCTACGATTTATCGCGCGTTGCCGTCTTTAGCGATTTTCCGAAACGGCGGCCGAATTGTAGAAGCGTTCCCAGCTGTTTGTCTGGGTTATCTCGAAAATCTAGGAGACAATTCTCTCGCAGCTGCAACTGCTTAAGCCTTAAGGTGAAGTGGAACCCGCTTCAAATCAGTCGATTCGAATACAACACTTTTTTTTAAGGGCATTAGACCAAACTGTCCAAAACTTTGACACATCACTCCTGATCATCTAAGAATTGTCCTGACACATTCAAAATTTGGATTTTTTTTTTTTAAATTCTTTAACTCAGCCCAGACCAGAACCAAAATGGCGTCGAACTTTCATATTTCGATCAATATACAATTATCGAAAGCACTGATATGAGAATCAAAAGGGTCAGGACAATTTTACGATAATTTAGAACACTCTAGTAATCGATAAATTCGCAATTGAACGGGATAAAGGCAAAAAAAGTGTTGTATGCGCTTCTATGCTAAAACGATGGGAATACGAGGTCTCGGAGTGAAAATTTAATTCACCTGGAAATCACAGATGGCGCAGGGGGTCCTCTGCAGTCAATTAGGGCCCCAGAAAGCACGAATCCAGAGGATTTCTGGAGTTTTACTTCGATTTCTTGATATTTATTATACTTGATATTTATTATGGACTATGCCATTTGGTACAATACCCAATATAATTCGACACAGCTGTCGATATAAAAACCAACGTCGGCAACGCAGGCATTTAGAAAAATCTTCTTCATCGACGTCGATCAAGTTCCTCGACGTGTTTCACTTCACCTTAATACGGTCCCCACCCGGTCGACCAATTGTGCGCGTCTGGATCGCTCGGGGATCCCAAGAGTTATCAGAGGTTATCCGCCGGCCGATATGAATTATCGCCGGGACCGCGCCGGTCGGCGTACCGTCGCTCGCGCGAGTCCAGTTAGTCGCTTGCGAGCCGCTCGAAGGCTTCCCCGAGTTGTTCGTTCCGAGTCGAGCGATCGGCCGCGATAAAGGAGGACTTTTTCCCGTCTCATAGAAGAAACTAACCGGAGAGTGGACGGGAATTAAGGCGGTCGGAAAGAGGAGAGCGAGAGAGAGAGAGAAAGTGAGTCGAGGACGCGCCGCCTATTGCGGAGTCGACGCGGCGACTCCGTGAATAATCCGGAAATTTTCCTTTGAAAAGAAAAAAAGGAAAAAGAAAGAAAGAAAAAGAAAACCACGGAGAGAGAAAAGCCCAAATAGGTCGTTTCGAGTCCAGCGATGTACCGCGACAACGGAAAGGGTTTTTCGTAGTTCATCGCAGAGGCGACCGGACAGAGTGGACGCGGACTAAGGCTGTCGGAAAATGGAAAGCTAGAGAGAAAGTGAGTCGAGGACGTGCCGACCACTTCGGCGTCCACGCGGCGACTCCGTGATTTCCCGAAGGGACGCGATTTTTCCTCAAAAAAGGGGGGGAAGGAAAACTAGAGAGAGGTACCATCGAACGTCAAGGTGGAACTCCTGGGAGGGGGAAAGAGTCAATGTCCAAAGTCGAGGGATTTGAAATCGCGATCCGTTAATCGGGGCCCGATATCGAAAAGGAGAGCGAGTTACGTGACGACCTCCACGTTGATATCCTGTATTGGAAAACCGGCGCGTCCAAGATGGCGGCGCCCTGTCTGCCGAGGAGCTCGGAGTGAGGCCTGGGGTCATAGTTCAAGACCGAAGACTTTGAGACCGCGGCTAGATCGCGAAAAGCTTGTATTAAGTCGTTCGTCGAAGATGGACCGCGAACTGGCCAAGATGGCTGCGACTCGGACGCGGAGGAACGCGTAAAGTGCGAGACGGAGTCGAAAGTCGAAGGCCCGAATCACTCGTCGATCGGACGGGACCCGAGCGCCTGGAGAATTGTTAAGCAGTTCCCGACGTCGCTTTAGCCACGCCGCCGGGTACGCGGTGAAGTCACCGACCCAAACGCAGAACGATCGCCTCGTAATTCAAGCCACGGCGTTAAACGGACGGGGACGAGGTGGACGAAATCCCGGAGGAAAGTAAAAACGGAGCTGCCGGCACGCAGGGAAGGATTCAATAAGAGGACCGATAACGATACGCCTTGAGCCCGCTATTGGCCGGAGATATGAAAAAAGCGACGAGGAGCCGTAGAAAGTCGACGGAGAAGAGATATTCTCGCTAATTCGTATATCAGGAACGGCGCCTCCCCTTTCGTCGTCGCTCTTTTCCTCGTCCGGAGGAGATACGGGATAAACGTCTCGAAGGAGTCGACTGAGTATCGTTCCCATTCGTTTTCTGCTCTTTTTCCTTTCCAGGGAAACCACGACGGAAGGATCGAGCGAGGGTTTTATCATCCCGGACGCGGCGAGACGGTGATCGGCGTTTATCGAAGGCGTCCCGAAAGGAGAATGACGGTGGGCTGAAAAAGGACGGAAACGCTTACCGAGGCCCGAGGAGATAATTCCTCCGCGAGGGAGATAGCAAGAGTGTCCGGCCCTTCTCTTCGAAGGAAACGAAGAAAGCGGAGAGGAGAAATTCCCCCCGTCGAGGATAAGAGGAGATAAGGGAAAGAGGAGCCAGGGGACGAGGAGTCGGGATCGATGGAGATTGATTTTCCATACCTCTGAGAGACCATCGCGCGGTATCATGATTTGGATGAGCATAAGGGAGGTGATATTCTTCGCGCTCCTTGTAGTGTCCTGGATCACTGGGATGTCCATCTGGTTCTTCGAGAAGTACGTCTACGGGGTCTTCGTCAACAGGAGGAAGGACAGGAGGGAGCGAGTGGAGGACGTCTCGATTTTCGTGCCGCAGTTTCATCTGAACGAACACTAGATCCTGAATCTTACCTAGGGACGATTCCTCTTTGGAACTGCGCACGACGTGCGATATTTAAAAATATTAGGATATTAATTTCGAGCAATAGTCGAGATTCAAGGTGGGGACGTTCCTTCCTCGTCGAAGAGTTCTAGTCCGACGAAAGGCATTCCGTTGACCCATATTCGAGCCCCAAGGAGTCTATCGAGGCTCAGACCTCGTAATAGGATTCGCAATAATTCGATTAACGGGCAACCGGACACGCGATTCCGGAACGGATTGCAGTTCGTCGGAAGCTACGATCTGCAGCAATTTGACCTGTGAAGCGGCGCGACGACCCTCCTCGTTGGTCGAAGAGCCTCAGGATGGTCTGGGACGACCACCTCTCGGTGAAAGAGGTGACCGAGATCAAGAAGAAGACCCCAAGGTTCCCTTCCAGGGAGAGGAACTTCGCGATGAGGCGCAGGGGCCCCAGAAGAGCGGCGTCCATTTGCGCCGAGGACGCCTCACCTGCACCGGACACGGCTGCACCTGCTGCACCTGCACCGCACCAACTCGGGGGTGTCCGCGAAGAGTGTGGACACTACTTCGCGACCGGGCCACCTCCGGACCACGACGAGTAAGATCATATTCTGAGCTTGACCGCGTCATTGCCTTCCTAGGTATTTGTTAGGTCCCACCTGGGTACCATCGATTTTTTAAGGTTCTCTCGTCTGGCGATGAAGCTAAAAAAATCTCACGGTTTATCGCTTTCCGAGGAATTATTCGAAGGCTCTTTACGGGGAGTTGAACAATTGAATCGTCCCCGAGAAGCGTGGGACCGGTGACATGAAAAATAGTGAATCCCTCGTTAGAGGGGCCCTCTGTCGATTGGACTTTACGAGTAGGTATTATTAGGGCGAATTGCGCGAGGCATGTCGGATAGCCGGCTCTCGTTGTTTCGTATATTGTCCGCGGACGAGTCCGAGGTCTGTATTTATGGTGATTCATGGCCGCGGGAAAAAAGGGGGGCCGCGATTCGGTGGCTCGCGTAAAATCAAGGCCGCGCTTTCCTTGACCCGAAGGAGGAGTGGTCCCTCGTTGCTGTAATCGCCGTAAAGAGTCGACTTCCGTTTCTCGACCACGTCCGGATTAACGCAGGATTCGACCCTCGTCCTTGGAATTTAAATCCCGCTCATTCGCGCCGCTCCGGCGAGGAACGCGATCCGATGGAGTGTCCAATTTTGAGGAAGTGAATACCCTTTGCATCCTCTATGGTTTCCTGCTTTTGATTTTTCAAGATGAGTTTATTGCTCGAGGTTTGTTCACCTTCCCTAGAGGTGGACGATCCTCGGTGAGGACGGCTCAGGATCGCCCGGGGCAAAAGGAGGAAGAGAATCCCGCTCGCGTCCTCGAAGCTCGCCTGTCCATGTACGGCTTGTCGCGATTAAAGGCGAATTCGCATGACCTAATACGGCGTCGCGAACCTCGAAACTGATGTCAGGCAACTTGCCCCCGGATCTCCGCCTCCGAGGCGATCGGACATCCTTCAAGGATGTCCATTGGCCCCCCGCTCGATGCTTTCGTTGCGGCCTTCGAAGACCGCCAAAAGTGACGAGCCTCTCTATAAGAGCACGGCGAAAGAACAATGCGAATGGGTCGAAAAAGTCATCGCGAGAAATTGATTTCGCAAGGGGGGGGTTATAAAGGTTCGCGAAGAATCGAGACATAAGATTCGAAAATTCTAAAGTACGAAAATTCGAAAATGCGAAAATTCGAAAATGCGGAAATTCGAAAATTCGAAAATTCGAAAATGCGAAAATTCGAAAATTCGAAAATTCGAAAATGCGAAAATTCGAAAATGCGGAAATTCGAAAATTCGAAAATTCGAAAATGCGAAAATGCGAAAATGCGAAAATTCGAAAGTTTAAAAATGTGAAAATTCGAAAATTGAAAAGTTCATAAATCCGATAATTTGAAGGAAACTAGTTTGGTTGTGAACTAAAGTACGGTTCATTGAATCAAAACTTTGAAACTGAATTACTCAAGTGCAAACAAAACTGAAATTACTCAAGTGCAAACAGTTTCGTGCAATGAATTAATTTTTTTCTGTACGTGTAAGTACAGGGAAAGAACAATGCGAATAAATCGAGGAAGTCATCGCGAGTAGGTCCAATCGCTCGGCGGGGATCTTGAATGTCTGCCATCTTTCGCGAAAGTTCGAAAGCCCGAAAGCCCGAATAAGTGATGTCGTGTTTACGCGAGCTTGTCAAGCGCGGAGCTTTCGCGAGATTCGCGATGACTAAAAGCTCGCCGGCAGTCGCTGCCAAAGTTCTGTCACGCCCTGTCAAGTAACTCGGGATTATTGCGCGACTTTCGGGTTTCCGACCTTCGAGGCCTCCGAGTTTGGATACAGGAAAGTATCTCCCGAACACTCGAAGCGAATGAAATCCTTGCGCGGACTCCGAGAGGAGTTAGAAGTCGTTTTGGCCAAGTCGGAGAATTCGCGACTTCCGGCGCGCGATCTTGACGTCAGTACGAGCCGCAAAATGGAGATAATTTTGACGGTGCCGAAGGAGGCGAATCTCGGGCCAAGTTAACGCACGCGGAAACGCGTCCTCGAAGACTAAAAGCCGAGATAAATCGCGACTACGAGATGGACCGAGGAGAATTTTGGCAAAGGCTCCCCGAGCTTCGACGAGGCGAGACGAGACTTTGCGGATTCCTCCGATAGAGGTGGAGTCGACTGATCTGGGGAAAAGAAGCGAAACTCTCAGAGGATAATAAATTCTCTCTGACGAATTCCTTGAATCGATTGGTATTGGCGGTAATTTCGTTTCTTGTATTTTTTTATTTTTATTTTTAAGACGTCTCGGAAGATTGCGAAGGATTTATACCTCGGGGGTTCGAGCAGATGGCTCCTGACGCACGACCGACGCAAGTCGCGGGGACGAGTCGGAAAAGTCGGGGGCGTGCGAACCCTTTCGCGTTGTACACCTCCGGATGACTAACCGAGCCCCGACGGGAGTCAACGGGGGCGGAAACTTCGACGAAATTGCGACTCCGAAACGCCCGATCGCTACCCCGAGGAGGTACACGCGAAATGCCGCGGGTGTCGAGTGACTGCGGTCTTTACACCTTGTTACGGCCGAGACAAGCCGCGATAAACGCGGTCGGCGTGTTTGTAACGCGATCCCCGCGAGTGCGAACGGTACAAGCAGTTCGATTGCGGTCGTCTTCGATCTCGGCTTTTCTCCCCTCGATTCGTGCCCCGGGGGTTCTGGACGTGCCTCCGAGTATCGCATAAAGCGAGAATCTAGACGAGGGTGCCGATGCCCAAAACGAGGACGGAATACCGCAGCGGCCATCTTGCCAGGTTACTCCATACATACGACTTTAAATTTCATAACACGTATTCATTTCGTATAAAAAAAAAAGGAAGAAACTTATGGGACACCCTAATACATGTAGCGCCTAATTCGAGTACAATTAAATCATCAAATAGCAAAAGGTTCATGCGTTTAAAATGAAAATTGTAAATAGCCGTCCATCCGTCCGTTCGTGTGCTCGAAATTGATTTATTTCCCTTTCTAAAAAAAATCACCCCTTCCGTCTTGAGCTTCACCCGCGGCGCGATTCCCACCGTCCGTCTCTCGGATGGTGGCCGCAAATTTCATAACACCCCGGCCAAATCATATTAGGGTGTCCCATAAGTTCCTTTTGCACCGTCCATTCATTTCGCATAAAAAAAAAAGGAAGAAACTTATGGGACATCCTAATACATATGGCGCCTAATTCGAGTGGAATTAAATCATCAAATACAAGAAGGTTCATGCGTTTAAAATGAAAATTGTAAATGGCCGTCCATCCGTTCGTTCGTGTGCTCGAAATTGATTTATTTCCCTTTCTAAAAAAAATCACCCCTTCCGTCTTGAGCTTCACCCGCGGCGCGATTCACACCGGCCGCCCCTGGTGGCGCGGAAGGGCGGCGGGTTGCGGGGCTCGTGGGCAGATGGCGCTCCCTCGAGCGGCGGCCGAGCGCGCGTGCGCGGCACTTCGCGTCCACCGCGGCCCTAGGGACGCGCCCGCCCACGCCCGCTCGCCGAACCTCGTGGCGCCAGTTTGAAGTACGCTCCTCCTGCGGATGCACTCCTTCCGGTGGCGTGCGCCTCGAGCTTCGCCGAGAAGTTGGCCGCGAGCAGTGACGAGAGGTCGCATCGAAAGGTGTTGCGAGCGTCCCGGATTGCGCGGCCATCGGTCGACCGATAGAGACAAACCGATCGCGCGCGTGGACGCGCCTTTACGTGTTCGGCACGTGCGAGCCGAGCGGATGGGAGGGGGGCGCAGCCGGGAGTGCGCAGGCGCGCGCGCGCGTCTTGCGAAACCGAGAGGGCCGATCGCGAAGATTCCGACATTTCTCGATCGCGAGTCAAATTTATACCCGGCCGAGTATTTTTAATGGCCCCCGAGGCTAATGGTACACCGCGCCGATATTCTCGCAACCTCGATTCCCCTTCCTTCTCCTCGCGATCCCTGCTTTTCTCCATTTTCTCCGCTTCTTTTCCACTTTTCTCCATCTGTCTCCGCCTATCCTGCGACTCGCCGCTAGTCGCGACTCGCTCGGGTCTGATCACGTGACGGGGCGCATGCGCGTCGAGGAGCTAGAGATCGAACGCGGGGATTCCTTCGTTTCTCGATCGCACTTCACTTTTATCATCGAACCTGACGGAGTATTTTTAAGGTGTCCCGGCCCGATTGTAAACCACTTATTGTATCTACTATCGCGTATTCTTTGGGGCACCTCGGGATTACTCATTTTCCTTGGGATTCCTCCTCTTCTACTTTTCCCGCAGTTCGTCATGGTTCGCGAATCATCGGTCTCGCAACAGGTCACGTGACGATGCGCCGGAGCGCCCGCGCGCGGACAGATCCCCCGTACGTCATCGAAAGATTTCTCGACTCGCGATTCCCTCGATTCGCGAGCCACTCGATTAAAATAGACGCCTATGTGGGACATTTTGCGGACCGTTCCCCTCTCATCCGAAGTGCGTAGATGAGGAGTTCGATGTCGATCGCGGTTGAGAATGTTTTTTCTTTTTCCTTTTTTTTTAAACTATTAGAATTTTACAATCGGCCATTTCGCGTCCTGCGGCCGGGGACGCAAATAGAATTACTTGAAATTGCGCTTTATCCGTGTCTATTTCGAACGGTGACCATTACCGGCTCTCGATATAGCTAGCATTTATCTAATTAATGGCTATTAGCTCGAACTCGCGCTCCCGTCGGCCCTGGGGATCTTTCGCGATGGCCCGTCAGCGGTGGCTGAGGTTAAAAAATGGACCCGCGAAGAGACGAATTGTGAGGATTCTTTTCCGAAGCGAAAGGGAGGGCGGGAGATAATGAAATTGTCTCGGGGTCGTGTCGAGAGAACGGGGAAAGAGAAAAAGCGGGGCTCGCTTTCTCGCTTATCTTCAGGGCCCCCGGCTTATCGGGCTACAGTGCATGGCACTCCGATTTTATTGGCTCAACCCCCAGTTCCAGGGATGAGCCTCGTTTCTTCGATTCTCGAATCGTGGAAAAGACGGGGGAGAAGGTACTTAAGCTCGATTCTATCGCGCCCTCCGAGTCGATTTATCCCGC